GCATTCCCTCCTCCTTTACTTCGTTAGTCCTCTGAGAAGTCTCTTACTCTGCAGGCATCTTCCCTTTTCGTTCTCTTTCATAGCCTGCAATCACTTAAGGTGCTGTTCTCACGAGTTCCTCTCATGTGAACCAGCGATCTTCCTTGGGATCGAGGTGATGTCTGAAGCTCACACGATACTGCATTCTCGGTTTAGGAGGGCGCCCTCTGCCTGATGATCGAGAAACAGGCATCATTCGATGTCCACAATCTGATCGATGTCCACCTCGCCGTCCATGGTTGGGGGCAGCATTGATCTTCTTGAAGGAAACTGCTCCGTAGCAACGAAAGGTGCCAACTTGGAAGCATGGAACACAGGGTAAGTGCGTAGGTGTGCAGGAATACGGATCACGTATGAAGGCCCATCTGGTTGATCCCCTACAATGTCCAAGATCTCCCAGGGCCCAAAATACTGCGGCATCAGTTTTCTGGATATTCCCATCTCCTGACCTAGTTCAGATGACTTTACCCAGACTCTATCACGTAACTGAAAGTTAGAGGGCCATCTATGCTTATTCTCAAATGCGATCAAAGCATCCTGAGACTTCCTAATATGTTCAACGCCTGCTGCGGCATCTGCTCATATTTGACAGCAAAATCTATGCTGCCAGGTGCTGCACTGGGTTGTCTTTCTGGTAGCAGAAAGTCGAGTGCAGTTCTGGGCTTCCAACCAAGATGTAACTGGTTGGGAGTCATACCGGTAGCACTATGCACAGCATTGTTGTACAGGCTGGCGACGAGTGGTAACTTCTCGTTCCAGTCATCCTCACTTGGCTTAATATAATGTCTAAGCAGGTGCCGTACTACTCGGTTCATCTGTTCTGCCTGGCCATTTGACTCAGGGTGATTCCCTGAGGTCATTTGGAGTTTTGTGCCCATCTGTTCAGCGGTTGACTGCCACAGTTCACTTGTGAATCTCACATCCCTATCACTAACGATAGATGTTGGCAAACCAAAATCACGTACCCAATTATCCATAAACAATTTGATGACATGGTCAGTTTTAGCTGTTTCTGGCATAGCGATTAGTCTGGCATACTTAGTAAAGCGGTCCACTATTACGAAGATGTGCCTTTTGCCGGACTTACAGGTCACAAGAGTATCCATGAAGTCCATGGACACGCTCTGACCAGGTCCTTTAGGAATCGGCAAGGGCTTGATCAGCCCAAGCGGAGCCTGAGTCCTCGGTTTGTCCCTCTGGCAAACCTGGCAGGTTTGAACATAGCGTTTTGCATCTAGCATCATAGAGGGCCACCAAAATCTCTGTACTAAGTTCGCTGATGTCTTCTTGTATCCAAAATGACCCGTTGCATCATGACATTCTCCTAAAAATAAACTACGCAAAGACTCACTACTGGGAACACACAATCTTTCATTCCCTGCCTTCTCAAGAAACAGCAAGCTTTCTACCATCGTAAATTCGTCCAAAGTCTTTTTGTCCTTCGCTTGGAATCTACGGATGATCTCAGACATAACTGGATCTTGCTGATAGGCATCCACCAATGATTGAGTCAAATCGCTAGATATGCCAAATTCAGTTACTAGTGCGCCCAGATAATCCGCCCGGTGAGATAACGCATCAGCCACTTTGTTGTAATCTCCCTTGATTGGATCAGTTGATAGTCATACATGTTTATCACTTGTATCCAGCGCTTGAGTGCGTCAGAGAGTACTGGCTGAGTCTTGATCCAGCGCAAGGTCTCATGGTCAGATCTCACGTAGAAGAGTCTGCCAAGGAGATAGTGTCTCCAATGTACCAACGCTCTGTACAGGGCATAGAGCTCACGCTCATAAGTGGACTTAGCTAGTTTACGAGATGGCATCTTTTTGCTCATGTACTCGATAGGTCTCAACTTGGGCCCCTCCTTTTGCGCAAGGACCTCGCCTATGCCATATTGGCTGGCGTCTGTGGTCACGACAAACGGCTTATCAGGGTCAGGAAGTTTAAGAACCTCATAGTGTGTCAGGGCGTACTTCAGTTTCCTGAAGGCTGCCTCACACTCTTCAGTCCACTCCCAAGGGGTGTCCAGTCGAGTTAGATCTGTCAATGGGGAAGCTATAGTACTATAGTTCTTCACAAACAGACGATAGTAGTCTGTCATCCCCAAAAACGATCTGACCTCAGTAACAGTCTGAGGTATGGGCCAGTCACGTATGCTGGCCACTTTGGCATCATTCGGCCTCAGTCCATCTGCTGAGATTTCATGACCCAAGTACAAGATCTTGGTGCGACCAAACTCGCATTTCTCCAAGTTAACCTTGTACTGGTGCTGTCTTAGGAGACCTAGCACTGTTTTCAAGTGCTCAGAGTGCTCCTCTACAGTCCTACTAAAGATGAAAATATCGTCGAGGTACTCGACGATAAACTTGTCTAAGTAGTCATGAAAAATCCTGTTGATCGCGTGCTGGAACGTCCCAGGTGCATTGCATAGTCCAAAGGGCATCACCACAAACTCGTACAGACCGTACCTGGTCTGAAATGCGTTTTTGTGCTGATCCTCAAGCCTAATGGCAATTTGATGGTATCCGGACTTCAGATCTATCTTGGTGAAGTACCGGCATCCCTGCACTCTATCCAAGAGGTCGTCGATGCGGGGTAGGGGCTCCGCGTTCTTAACGGTGATGGCATTGAGGCCCCTATAGTCAATGCACATCCTCAAGGTACCTCCCTTCTTCGGTACGAATAGGACTGGAGCGCCGTAAGGGGAGGTACTAAGCCGAATCCATCCCTTCTCTGTGAGCTCATTGAGCTGGCGGCGAAGCTCATCTAACTCCGCAAGAGACATCCTATAGATTCGTCCTCTAGGCACCTTGCTACCTGAGACAACCTCTATTGCATGGACAACCTCCCTTTCCACCACACCTGTGGGCTCCTAAAAAAGGTCTGAATATTGTGCGACGACTGATTCTATCTCTGGGGGTGTTTTAACGACCTCCCCTTTCTCAGAGACAAATACTAGATACATGCCCTCCTCGCGACTCTGCTTCTAATAGTTATAGACGGATGATGCACACATGCACCCGTAGTTTTCTATTAGACTGCTAGCTTTGAACTTTTGCAATCTAACAGATCTATCGTTGGGCAATTTGTGAATCAATACCTTTCTATCCCAGTCAAACTGCGGTTGCGCGACCTCCAGGTAGTACATACCTAGGAGCATATCAAAGGGCAGTTCGTCGCTAACCAGGAAGGAGATTTCATGGCTCAATTCCCCTCCTCCATAGGAGAAGGTACAGACTATGTCCTTGACATAGTCTTTTACCAACATTTGGTGCTTGTTGGCTAGCGTAGAAGCTACAGTTCTGCTAAGCCGCTGCACTTGGTCCCCTAAGCGCAGTCTATCCACACAAGCACGACTGATGAAATTTCGCGTAGAGCCTATGTCTGCGAAGGCGCCCACTTTCCGGCCACCTACATCAACTTCTACCACGAAATGTTCACCCTTGGGACCTCTACTTATCATCGCCCAAGAGTCCCTGGGGTCCTTCCCTGACCACTCAGTCTCTAACTCCTCTAGGGCCGAATAGAGCGTCGGTGGGTCCGAATGTGTCTGCGGGGCGATACGTGGGTCACTAGCCTTGGCCAATGCCTGAAGTGGGGAAGGCAACGTTACCACTTCAGCGCGAGTAAGAGCGGCTAATACTCCTACTGGCCCGAGGTGTTTCCCTGCGAAGTGCTCGCAAAAGCACCGCGAGGGTTCGAAGATAGTCCCACCACCGTTGGTGAGGCTACCCTCGTCAGGACTTTCTTGCCTCGGCACGTTCGAGACGTGTGGCCATAGTTGCCACAGTTCATGCACGTGCCCCTAGCAACTCGGTCCCTCCACACCTCATACTCTAAACCAAGTTTTACCCATTCGGGTGTTCCTTGGGCGCCCTGACCCGTGGACCGTACTACCGTCTTCTTCCCGGTCCCCCTAGCCTTTTCCTTGATGGGTGCCACGACTCCCCCATCCGAAGTCTCAGTAGCCCCATCTTGCTCTGTCACCTCCCCAAGGTCTAGGAAATCGTCAATCTCCGTCGTTTGACCATCATGGTCAACGAACATCAACTGACCCTTCTTCTTCCAGTCATGGGGAAGTCTCTTCCTACCATCATGAGATGCCTGATGCGCGGATCCCAGCTTTGCCTCTATTTCTAGAGCTTTCTTACTAAAAGTAGCGAAGCTGTGCTGTTCGACATAGGCCTCATCAACCAGCTTGGTCCTTACCTCTGCAGGTAGGCACCGTAGGTAATCCGTCAGGAGAACCTGCTGGTCAAAGCGCACACCAGGTACCACGAGTAAACGTTCTACGGTGTCCGTTAGCTCTTTAACATTTTTGAACCTGCGGGAACAAAGATTGTTGATAGCATCGGTGGTCTTTTGAGCCCCTTGCGGGTCATGCCATCTGTTATACACGGACCGTACGAACTCTTCCAATGTCTAGGCCTGTGCCCAGACATCGAAGTTTTGACCGTAGCCCTATTGTTGCACTAAGCCATTCAACCAGCGAGCTGCTGACCCTTCTAAAAAGGAGGCAGCCACTACAACTTCCTGCTCTGGCCTGGTGAGCTTGTGCCTCACATAAGTAGGCACAGTCCTACAGCGGCTGCATAGCCACTGAAACAGGCTGTTGCACACTAACCTGGGCATGGCTTGACAGTGGGACTGTAGTAACCACTGTCGTAGATGGTACGACTGAGACTGTATGAACCGGACCACTAGTTGCTACTAAACCACCTGGAGGGGGTATGCCAAACATAGGAGAGAAAGTTGCCCCTGTGTGTTGCCGCATCGATGAAGGACCCGCATCTGCAGGGGGAACTACAGCAAACTGTGGCTGCCTCATCATTGTACGAGGAGCCCGAAGTTCAACCAGGATTTGTTTCTGGCCTGCAACCAATTCGGCCAACAATTCCTGCTGGACATTCTGCGCTTCTGCCACCGATAGTAAAGCATTACACAGCACGCGAACAACAGGGTCTAATGCCGCCTCATCTAGTCCTTCCAGTCTGCCTAGTTCCTCTCTTCTACTACCTAGTCTAGCTTTTCTCAGGATTGCTTTCCTTCTTCTCTCTGCTGCCTCGTCCAATTGCCGCTGTAGCTCATCCTGAAGTTCTTCCGCTTGCCGGATCTCTAAATCCTCCGGCGTGAGTTGAGTCTGCTGGATGACTCGCAAGCTAGCAGTCTGACTAATGGACCCCTGAGAACCACTTTGACTGACTCCTGACGAAGTGGACTATGTAGAGGTTTGCGACATAGATGAGGTAGCCATGGTTGCACCGGTGCTAGCTGAAACTCTACTCCTGGCACTATCCTCAGCTGCCCTCGCTCTTCTTGCCGCTGCTCTCTCTCTAGCCTCTCTCCGCAATCTTCTCTCGTCTCCTGGACCTAACTCCAAGAATGTCAAGGGTCGACTACGGGCAGTCCCACGAGTAGTCCTACGGTCGTCCACTAACAACTCCTCCTCACTAGTGCTTGCATCACTCATGAGCTACAGTGTGTGTGATCTAAACTAGAATCCACACTGAATCCTACCTTAGCCTGACACACAAACGATTATAAAACACAACTAATTTCGATCGGATGGAACTGAAACAATTAGGTGATATAGTAACAACTAATGTCAGATCCTACAGGAAATATCATATCTATTTTTAGATTATCCTATAACAGATTGCTATATAACAAAGATCTAATATGTCTGTAGCTGTCTGTCAGTTGTTAGTCAAGTCTGTAACAACTAGATAATCAAAATAAAAATAACATCTCCTGTTGGAGATGTATGCTTGATGGCAGATTGTCTGTTGATTGCCACTGCGAGCAGTTACCGGAATCCCCCCTCCCCCTGTATCCTTCTTGAGTGGTCACTTTGTGTCAACATCTTGAGCATCTGGTTGAGCAGCGTGTCGGAAGGTGTGCAATCCGGCCCACCCCTGTGCCCCAAGTCAATGCCGAACCTGCCAGCCCCTGTAACGAGCCTTACACCCGGTTGATCTGGCTGATCAGGAGGGAATTAAGGAGAGCCCCCATCTCCTCAGGAATTATTTAACTTCACAGACAGGACGACGATCACAGCCAGATTCAATTCCGAGTCCCCAGCCAGAAATGTTTAAAGACGGTCTGGTAAGCGTCTGTCAAAGGGCTGGCATGCCCTACATGACCTCTATTGCGCAAGCAGCAGAACCAAGGACTTGCGGCAAAGCATGCGTGTACTAGTCCCAGCGGGTTGGCATGGTGACCGTGACCCGAGTGCTTCGTCCAGGGCCCTTCAGAGGCTTCGCCCGTCTCCCACCAGCTTGCTGCCCAGGAAGAATGTCGACTCTCAAGGTTGAGCGCTCGCGACACCTCACATCGAGAGGGCTCTCAAGACAGAACTCACTTCCTCACGGTAAGAAGTAACGAAGAGGGTGGATAAGGAAGAGAGCAACGTACCTCATAAATGCTGCCCCCAACCACAGATTTCTCACCGGCAACCTGATGTGCAATTATGATGACCGGTCTTTGCCTTGGCACAACCAACAGCAGAATGCGGTTCCACGTCGGCTTAATATGCCACATCAGCGAGCTCTCATCATCCAGCATACACCCCGTATGTCACCACATAGATCCCTGGCACGCCCACACTACCCTGGGCAGCCTAATGTTCAACGCCAATGCCTTATCACTGCCCCACACCTCATGCGAAGCACCAATAGCTATTGCGAAGAACCAATGAAGCGCAATATGAACCAGCTCCGATACCAAATTGCAAGGAAAATAAGCAACAGCGAGATGACAAATCCAGAATACACCATCACATTAAAAGCCAGATAGTCACACTGTGTCCAGAGAGCAGCATTGC